ATCAGCAGTTTCTGAAATACTCAGACCAGCCCCTCTGGCACCAACAAACATGCCACGTTCAAAGTCACTCAAATCACCTTTCTTCCGCATACTGATGCTCGGTGTGAACTGCAGGAGATTGTCTTGACCATGTCTACATGCCTAAATGCACTGAGTTGCCGCCATGTGATTGGCTGCTTAGAAATTAAGTGTTAATGAGCAGTTGGACAGGTGTACCTAATAAAGTGGCCGGTGAGTGTAGAACTAACATCTTTTTGGGGAATTTTTTATATGAAAAATATGTACATGGATCGGAGCAAAAGGTCTATTTTAATATTTTGTGTTTCTCACATTTTGAAGGTCAATTGAGTCTCTTGACTGAGTTTTTTTATACTTTCTTTATGTTTTATCTGTATCTAATAAATATTATTGTTTTCATCAATTAATACTTTTTTTGATTCAGCAAGTTTGATCATAAATTAAATCACTTACTTCTGTTTTTTTTTTTTTTTTTTATTTACTGCTCAGCCTGAAAACATAATGTTTGGAAAAGATGGGAAGGTGAAGATTGGAGACTTTGGTCTCGTCACTGTTGACAAAAGTGAGGACGTGATGGAACGAACACAAGGACGAGGAACAAAAAGCTACATGGCTCCTGAACAGGTCTGTAAAATGATGAGTTGAAAATTGACACAAGTGTTGATTTTATGACTTAAAGAAAAAAAAGTTTGTAGCATTAAAACCATTTTTTATCCAACTCTGTTTTTATAAGGTTTTATCAATACTCACTGGAGATACATTAATTTAGTGATGGGTTACCCTAAGGACAATTTAGAGAAGCCAATTAACCTAACAGTCATGTATTTAGAATGTTGGAGGAAGCCAGAGTACCTGGAGAGAACCCATGCATGCTCAGGGAGAATATGCAGAAAGACCCTGGGCTGAGAATCAAACCATAAATCTTCTTGCTGCAAGGCAGCAGTGCTACCCACTGCGCCACCGAGCAGCTGTCAGCGTCAGTCATGGACTGAAAAAGATGGTCCAAAACTGGCTGCCAGATACTACACAACTTTTTCGTGGAGCCTCTAACATCGTACCGCAGTTTCTCCAAAATAAAGAATCTAAAATCACTTACCCAAGGCAAGGCAGAAGTGATACCCACTGTTCCACTGAGCAGCCCCTATAACCTGTCACAAATTGCTGAGTTTTATTGTTCTACATTGGAAGCCTTTAATATCATATTATTCTTCCAGCTGGATTATTCCTTTATGCACCGGTAGTGGTCTTTGATGGGCAGTATGAGGACATTTTGCTAAACTTTTTTCTTTAAGGACTCTAACATTTGATTGAACATATGAATTTAAATATATATTAATAAATGTATTATTGATGGTTTTTGGTGGATTTGGGATTAAAGAGTAGACTGTGCGGTAGGGGTGGGTATTGCCAAAGAAGTGACGATTCGATTCGAATCACGATTCACAGGCCACGATGCGATTCTATCACGATGCATCACGATACTTGAATTATTGCAATGCATTGCAATATTTTCTCCTCAATGTTTTGTTTTTGAATGACTCTGCACAGTATCCCGCAGCCGGAAATGCTTGTGACACAAGGCAGCGTGCGTCAACACATCCGCAGCGACATCTACTGGACTGGAAGTTGTATTACACTTGTTTTTGGCTGATGTTCGCCAACCATTCATGCAATTTTATTTATTCATTTCTTTAAATTAATAATCGATACTTGGCGTCAAGAATCGATGCAGTAGATCACGAAAATTAGAATCACGATGCATCATCATGACGATTATTTTGCACACCCCTACTGTGCGGTAGAACAGCTGATATCATTTTTATTAAATAAAGCCGGCTTTCACGTGACCAGTGTCTCACAGACTGAAGTATTTGTTAAAACGCTCATTAAGAGATGCAATAAGAGCCCAAAATGAATTTTTGAAAAATGAATTTATCAATTATTTTATATATTTTGCTTGTTCTCCATTTTTCTGTTTTGTTTTATAAAACAAATAAAGAACTTGTTTCGCATTGAAATAAGAAAAAAATAATGACACATATTTGTCTGTTCAAGTATTTAAATTACACATTTTATTAAAAAAATATATATAAGTTTTTTTTTTTTTTTTTTTTTAGAAATAATTGTTTTTTACTCTTTTTTCGTTTTGGGCTTTGCTGTCTTGTTCCTACCTTTCTCATGGTATTTCACATATTTTGGTGTCATATTCCACTATTTCACTAGTATGGCATTTTTGAGGCTGGTATGTCAATTGAATAACTGTCAGTCCAGTGCTATATGTGATTTCTTTTTAAATCTGGCATGCAGATAACATTTTTCCCCTTGGTGCTGCTGCCAGTATGTTGTCCAGATGACTCATGAGGTATTTATAGTCCTTCAATAACCACTTCTACCATCATCATGGTGTGATACAATCATATGATTGTTTCTGCACCTTCCGACAAAGCGGTTCACCAGCTCCTTGTACTCAGCTTCTTGTCCATCTCTGATGCACCAATGGGCCTTAGCAACATTTTCGTAGTCTTCTTATAAATTTTTTCTTACTTTTTCTCCTACAGTGAGCTTTTACGAATTAGCCACATCAGATTCAACAACCATAACTTTAGTAAACTTCAGTAAATGATCATATTTTATCTGCGTAAATATTATTAATTACACCTGTGCTTAAGTGAGCACACGTTTCAAATGTACATTTGCTTAATAATCATGTAAGCAGGAAAGCTAGGATTTCCCACTCTTGTCAGAAGGTGTTTATTCATAGAAATGGCATCAAAGGTGAAGAAGAAAAACTCTACTGTTCGGAGATCAGTTCGAGGGCTGTAAATGTTGTGGTTGCATTGAAAATTAAAATTAAATAAAGATAATAAAGTAAAATCATTTGATCCACTACCAGTCAATGAAAACTATCAATTGATGTAAGAAGTCCAACAGATGATGTAAATTCTTGATTCATGAGTTTATCATTAACCAACACAACACAACATTCTTTAAAATCTCCTTTTAATGCACGCAACAGGTGTACTGTACATCTCTAGACCACATATGTTCAGACTGTTAAAATAAAACAGACTTTTTCTTGTTTTAACAGAAGAGTAAGAGTTACGATCATAAAGTGGACATATTTGCTTTGGGACTCATCTTCTTTGAACTCCTTTGGAAATTCTCAACCTTCCATGAAAAAAAAAAGGTGAGTTGATTATTAAGATTTTTTTAGATTTTTAATCTAAATAAAAAAAATATGGAAAATGTGGTTTACATTTCTTGACAACATTCTACCCTTAAATGATAATAACAGATCAATGTCTCAAAAAACAGATCTAATTCATTCTTATTATTTCCTATATAAACTGCAACCACTAGATTTGGGATGATGTGAGAGACAACAAGCTTTCCACAGAGTTTTCCCAGGCTTTTCCCCTCGAGGTAAATTATTATGCTGAATTCTCTGCTTATTTATACAGAAAATCCTCTAAGAGAAAAAAGCTTTTGTGGAAACCTTATTGCTAAACAAGTTTAATTGTCTTTGCTTGTCATTGTAGTGCATAGTAATCAAATCTTTGCTGAGCAAGAGCCCAAAAGATCGACCAGAAGCAAGCGAACTTCAGAAAGCGCTGGAAAGATTAAACAGACAACATATGCACCTGGAAAATCAAACTGTGTGACTATCAAAAGACTGAGAGTTAGTGAGGAAGAAATGCTGTTTTTCCTCATGGACTAAAAAAAAAATCGAAATGCTGAACTTTCTTTAGTTTTCTTCAGTTTCAATTTAGATCAGTGATTCCCAATAAGGGGTACTCGGACTGCTCTAGTGGTCTGTGAATGCATTACAAGGGCTACATGAAAATATTTTATTTCTTAGGTAATACAATAAAACAGGGCTGGGATCTATTTTGCTTTGTGATGACCCAACTAAAAAAAAACACCTTTTTTCAACCAAAAAGTACAAAGTTTCTTATATGTTTGAGTTCACCTTCAGCTTTGCCCCATTTAAACCAATAAAATAGCCTGGTATCAGCCATTTTCCCCACATCTGAGCTCATCAAAGCCAGCTCAGGTGTCAGGAATGTTAATAAAAAATATAAAACAGATGCAGTGAGTGTGACTATATACTTTTTCTAAATCACCATGTTTTGGGTGAATTTATGGGTTTGTTTTCTATTCTCTTAAAATGGTTCAGCGTTGTAAAATTTTCTTACCCTAGCAAATGCTTATGATCTGATGGGATATATATATAGAGGAAGAATATAATGGAGGAGGGCTCACTGGTTTAAGTTCTGGTAAACAAGGTGTAGTTTTTCTGAACTGTTACTCCTTTAAAAAGCACATTTTGCCTTAATTGAGTTCATCGATATGACGCAGCTGTAAGTACATTAAATGAAACGATGGGTTTCTTTTTAATAAAATGATCTCTAGAGAAATATTCTATGAAACTTTCTGATACAGATGTATTGTGTATTTTTTTGGTTTTCCTATAAATGTATTTTTTAATACATTTGGATTTTAATGACAGAACTGGCCTCAGTCATTTCAACTCTACAAACCCCATCATGAATCAGTACCAACATCAGTGTAAACAAGATATGATAAAAAAAAATACTGACTGAATACTGTTTATTTTTACCTGTTTTCTAAATATAATTCCTGTTCAATTACGGTATATAAAATGCTAAAACAGAGCAAACAGACCCTCTATACAAACTGTCAGTAATAATTCTACAGGTCATAAAAATAGTGCTTATTTTCTACCATCAAGAACTTCCCTTCACTACCTGACATTAAAAGCAAGTCTGTTGTACTTTGCTGAGTACTATTATAGAACTGTAAACACCATCAGAGATGTGAAAACATGTCAATTCTGGTTTAAACCTGATTCAACTTTGTGTATCCATGATAAAAGGAGTAACAGCAGGCTTTCTAATATGGTGCTGACCATGCATAATACTGATGAGGTACATCATTTTGTCTTTTCTTTCATGCTGTAAATTTACCCTTACTGGAAAGTATCTTATTCCCATTTATTTTTGTTTGTCATTACCTTTGTGTGAATATTCATGCGTCGGTGTTTCTGCAACTGGTGTATTTCGACGCTGACAATAAATAATCATTTTATATCAAATACCTGTTTCTGTATTATAATTTTATAACCTAAAATGTAAAAAAAAGTTTGTAAATGAGCAGGGGAGGAGCTAGATGGGGGGCCAGGGGTGGCCATGGCCCCCCTTAGCTAATCACTGACCGCCCCTGTGGCCACCCCTACCAATATTTTCCCTCTAATACAGACGGTGGCAGCAGTAATACTCTCAAGTGGAATATTTCAAACATTTTAATTTTTCATATATTCATAATTACTTGACAACAAAACCACTGTGGTTAATTATGCACATTAATACACTAACATTAAAGATGAGTACAGAATCAATGCCCTTTTCAGAACTAGATTTTGTGTTATATGGGGTAAAGAAAAAATAATGTGTCAGTGAAATCATAAATAACTATTTTAATACAAACTTATTAAAGAATCAATTTATGTAGATAATAATAGTAAATATATATTTTTTACAGAATGATTATTGATAAAAGTAGGTAAGTAATGACTCCAGAACTCAAACCTGAAAGAATTTTAACCAGTATACCTTTTATATAGAAAGCATTGATGTTTAAATAGATGTCTATTTTTTAGTAAAGGCTGTAGGAACATATAATTTATCTCCATTTACAAAATATGGCCTTTGTGCTCGTTAATTTTCCTGTTGGAACAGAGTAGATTGACCCTGAGGTTCTGGTGCCTATCCCGTTTCGGCCACCCCTCAGTGTACGTTGATTATTGCCTGGCCACCCTTATAAAAAATTTCTGGCTACGCCTCTGTAAATAAGCATGAAACCCCACTGTTAACACTCAATGAATATACTTTTTATGGCGATTGCTAGTCAATAGAAACCTTAGTTTCTTATATGAAAAAGGAACATTAATCTTCCTTTATGGATTTACTAGAGGTACACCAAGAAGTAATTTGTAAGGAAAAGGTGATAGTAAAAAAAAAAAGCATTAGCATTTCAGCAGTGTGACACTTGACACTGAATGGCAGCAAATTATAGCATTTTTCACATCATGTAAGGTTTGCTTTTGCTTTTTAATGGTCTTTACATACGAGATTTGTGAATAAACACATTACCATTGAAAAAAGGTAGAGCTATGATTAGAACAGGTTTCCTCTTTGCTAAATAACAGTATGTGCTTTCAGGCAAAGCATGCCCTGGGGAGGATGGTTGGCTCAGACTTAGTGGATAAGAAGATAAAATAATAGAGATTAAATTTAATCTAGAAGTAGCATATACAATATATACATTTCATGCATTAAATGCTGTTTCCTCTACAGATAATGAGGCATTTTGAATTGAAAGATTGCATTGAGGAATTATTTTCCTGATGCAAATTTTCTAAAAAAAAAAAATAATAAAAAAAAATTAATTAAATTATAAAATTTGGAAAACCAACCCTGATGCTGGTTTTCACAAATGCACAAGTTGTATTCATCAATGCATATATTTTTAACAAGTTTATCTCCAAAGTGCATCCTACCTAACCAAAAAATTGAGCATTGCTGTGAAAATTAAATGAAAGTTATGAAATGTGACAACCCAATAATGAATGGTCTGTGTTTGTATAGCTATTTTTTCAGTCATTTATGCTCACATTCACATACTGATGGTATTTATTTATTTTTTTTATAAAACACTGATCCTCTCATCATCTCAGTCAGCTCCATTGCGTGCATAATTTGGGAATGAAAAGTGAATAAGATAACTGTTGACCTAGAGGACATGTCTTACAAAGCTGATAGAAGGCAAGGAGAGCATTAATAAGAGGCATTCACTCAACAAATCTGATATTAATGGAAAAGGAGCAAGATGAAAGCTGTTAAAAGACCCAATTAGAGTCCATGAGAGGAACTGTAGGTGGGGCTGTGCCCAGGTGAGTCCATCATTAAACTTTTCACTTTATATCACCTTGAATTCACCATGTCTACAATGAAAATATATAAATGTACTGTAGGGATGCTTTAAAATGATATGGACAACAAAGCTGAATAGAAAGAGCTTAATTTTATTAGCATAATTATGTGTACGAACTGCAAAGTCCAGACCTAAATCCATAAAATAAAACTGTGGCAATAACAGAAAACTCACTTCTAAGTATAGTGAAATGTCTGGTTTTATAATGGAAAAAACAGGAAAAAAACATCAAACTATGTGAATGCTTTTTGAGGCAAACATTTGTCAACTTATTCCAATATAACTGTGAGAAAATGTACTTTTTCAGATACTTCATGATAAAAACCTGTAGGTGGCGCTGTTGTTCTGCTGTTCAGGAACATGTCTCTAGTTTCCTCAGGCTGAGTGTAATCCAGGTTTGTTCTCAGTGAGGGAGAGCAGAAACAAGTGTGTGTGTGAGGGGGTTGGGGTGACATTTAATCATGCCTCCAGCACATGCTGCATGATTAGCATCTCGGTGGAAAACAACAGTCACAGTGGCCAAAGAGCAGATCTCACACAATCACGCAAACACCCGGTGAGGCCCAGGTAATCAGCACAGATCGGCTCCTGCAGCTCAGAGTGCTACCTCAACAATCACAACATCACTGAGACCAACAATTTGTGTCATTTATGCAAACATCATCTGTTGCCAAATCTTTATCACACCTTCTGGCTCACCCATAAATCTAGCAGCTATTGTACAGTTTGTAGCATCCGCCAACACATATCAAATGGTGAGTTTAAAGATCCTTTTATTGTGTGTGTTATTAGAAATATATCTGTAATGATTATGTTTCTGTAGAGCCATTTTATTTTAAAGTTTCTTTCCTTTAACATCGTCCCCTTTTATCTGTATCTACAATAATAAGTCAGTGCATCTCCAGTCTTCTGCAGCAGCTGTGCTCCTATGAACAGGGTTATTGGATGTATTGAGGTCACTTCCTCTGAGAGTGGTGTGGGCGCTGAAGCAGAGCTCCTGGTCAGTGGCATGAACCATGTATCTAGGGGTAAAATGGACTCACAAGTCAGAGAGTCTGCCTGCAGTCCCAGAGGTCTCAGCAAGTGATTACTCAGAGTATAGCCTCATCTAACAGGCAGCAACCAGTTTGTTTTGCTCCCTGTGTCTTAGGGAAATAACCTCACCCCGAAGAAGGCTTGAAAATCAAAATGAGAGTTTAGGATTCATGAGAAGCTGTCAGATGACACGGCCATCCTTCCCTGCCTGCTCATATATTTTTGTTATGTTAAAACCCACTTAACCTCTGGTGAAGTGCAGCTTACTGGAGCATGAGCACATGGCGTGCTTCGCCCCCAGGCCCCTGTTGGCTTTCACCCTGGACTTTCCACCTCTCTGCAACCACATCCTGCCACTCTACTCAACACTTAGCAAACATGACCAGTGCTGTTAAAGGGCCCTAAAACTTTATGTTCACATCATCTGGTCCTGCAGTTTCCTTATTCTAAGTTGTACCTACATAAAAGCTGATGAAATCAAAGTAAGCATTGTCTGTTAACTATACATTTTTATATAAAATGCATTAGCTGTAAAACTTAGTTAATGCCAGATTGCATAGTTAAAACTTTGCATATATTCATCATGGCAGCAAGTTTCTTCCAGACCTATTGA